GGGTTTCTAGGCTGCCCAAAACCCCCTCCAGGGCTGAAGTGCGTGCAGACGCGCTGCCCATTGACCCCTCTGGGGAACACCCCCGGGCCCTCATCTGGAAGCCCCTCACAGACCCTTCCGGCTACTCACCTGCAAGTCCTTCTCTCTCTCTCTCTCTCTCTCTCTCTCTCTCTCTCTCTCTCTCTCTCTCTCTCTCTCTCTCTCTCTCTCTCTCTCTCTCTCTCTCTCTCTCTCTCTCTCTCTCTCTCTCTCTCTCTCTCTCTCTCTCTCCCCCCCCCCCCCTCCCCGTCCCTCTCTCCCCCGCACTCACACCCAAGAAACACACATATCCGCACATGAAAATGACTCTGCAACCTGTAAAGAGAATTTCACCCTGTTTTCCCTAATCCAGCATTCACTTGTTTGTTTTCTGCTCCTCCCCCCCCCCCCCCCCCTCTCTTTCTCAGGTTCTTGGGACAGAACTTACAAAGCATGAGTTTGCTGATGCAATGGGCATGAAAGAGTCCTCACTCTTTGTCGAGCAAGTCTTCCATCTGGTGGATAAGGACAAGAGCGGATCAATCAGCTTCAAGGAGTACTTGCAGTTTGTGGCACTCTTCACCAATGGTAGTTTTGACAGCAAGATGGACTTGATGTTCAGCATCTACGATTTGAATGGCGATGGAGAGCTAAGCAAGGAGGAGTTTATCAAGATGCTCATGTTGATGGCAGAGGAGGCTGGTGAGAATATTGGTCAGGAGAGCATCGAGAGGTCTATTGCCAGTATGATTGCTGTAAGTTCAACAAGTTATTTGGGACTTTTGAAACGACATTCAAGTTGCTTGTTTAGAACTTCACCTTAGTAATTCCCGTGCTCGTATACGTGTGTAGTATGCCCAGTGCACATGGTAACAAAGAGATCTTTTTGATAAGCCAGTCGGTGGATATAAGTTGAGCCCAGATATCCTAGGAGACCCAGTAACCATCATCCCCCCTAGAAGACAAATTTATTACTATAACCTAGGCAAGGGACATTCTGTAGTCCACGTCACACTGCATGTAATTGCAACAAGTACACCAGGTTCGAGTTTCAATAATGTCATGGCAACAACCCCGGGGCTTGTTCTTACAAATGTCAGGCTACGTTGTAATAAGGAGCATGGGTTTTGTATGATTTTTTACCTTCCTGTAGCTTTCCTGTTTTCCGGTCTGGACATTCTTTGGGTCCATGTTCTTGATACCCGGGGCCTAGTGGAGCGAGTCGTTTACAACAGTAGTGCCACGCACCGCCGCATCTATTGAACATGTACCAGTATCTCCTTGGCCCTGTAAATCTGTCTTATCAGGAGCCAGCGTTATCTATTTCTACTCGACTTCTTTCAGCACTTCCTGCTGTTGCTGTTCTTGTCTGCTCCAGGATGCTGGTCTAGCGCACAAGACCAGCCTGACAGTGGAGGACTTTAAGGAGATCTTTGGCAAGTATGGCAACGAGCTTGACTCCACGGCCATGCAGATTCACGGCAAGACTGCCAGGAAGTCCGTTGTGAAAGCTACCACCACTGTGACCAGTGCGACATCTCAGAAGAAACTTGCCGGTGTGAGCAGTGCTGGCGGCGGCCAAGATGAGACTGATGCAGCACAGTTCAGGCAGCGCCTTGCCACTGGCCTCAGGGCAGATAAGAGCAGTACGTTAGTGAGAAGAAATGCGTATCACTGTTGGCTTCCAGGGGCGTCGGCAGGTGTTTTAGGGTGGTGAGGTCAGCCATCTGAGTGGTGCGGTCAGCCATCTGAGACTGGAGTATACTCGAGGCGGAGGGGTTTCTGCTGAAAATGTTGAAAATGTAGAGCCCAACTTCACAGTGTTTTATTCATTTGATTTGAGGGGTACCTGGGGCAAATAGTGGTACGGTCAAGACCGTAGTGACCATAGCGTGTCTGACGCCCCTGGTTTATTATATGTACAGTGGAGATTGGATATAACGACACTCCTTCGGGAGAGAACAAAATGTCACTTTATTCGATCTGTCACTACAGTCCATTTCAAAACTATAGACGCGTAGGTTTTTGAAATATTTCAAATTTGGCTGGACCTTTTTGAGAATAGTTTTCGGAATATTGCTCAGGTCTGCTCCACAATTACTCTCATATAGTTTCTAAACGATTGGATAACAGACGCCCAATTTGGAAAAAATTATGCACAAAGTGATCACAGATTTTATGTGGTATAGATGCTGGCATAACGGTTTTTGCCTAGGTACGCGTCTTTAGTTTTGAAATGGACTGTAAACCCGATCTTCACAAAGGACTTACTAAACGACTTGGGCAACAGAATTGTGTCGCTAAACTCAATCCGTCGTTATATGCAAGGTCGTTATATCCGATCTCCACTGTATTGGGTTCTGTTTGTGACTCATGAAATCAGGCTATTGCAGAAGAATACTGTGCGAGTTTGATGCAGCCCATGTCCAGATGTTGTCATCCACTGCCATTCAGCTGTGTATTGTGGAGCAGTATTTGCCACGGTATCACCACCCGTCCAGCATGTAGGCACGCACATACACGCACACACGCACACACACACACACACACACACACACACACACACACACACACACAGGGGTCACATGGGTCAGCTTGTAGAAGTTTGCCATGCATGCTAATTGAGCATCCTGAGGAGGGGTGCATACATGCTATGAATTAGGGCCACTCACTATGTATACACAAATACCTTTAGGCATCAATTATGTATGACATGCACGTTTTGTCTTGCAGTGATGTATGACATGCACGTTTTGTCTTGCAGTGATACTGCACCAAGCCTTACATGTGCCTGTGTAGTGCTATGAGTACTTTGTGATCATTACTCATCATTACTCATCATTACTGACCTGGTCTCTCATGCACATCATGATGCATTGTTTCCCATAGGATCAGCAGCAGCAAAGGAAGCACGGAAGGCCTATGCCAGTCACGAGGATGAAGACTTCACTTCAAGCATTCACGTCGAGCCTCTGCCGGTGGATGAAGAGCTTGGCAACAGCGAGGATACACAGAAGGACTCGCGTTCCCTCCTGTACATGCAGCGAGTGTGGGAAAACTATCGCCTGCACATCTTCTGGTTTGCCCTCTACCAGCTAGTGACACTGGCCATATTTGGCGAGAGAGCCTACTGTAAGTATCTTGTCATTATACACTTTTTGAGCACGTGTGCAATCCAGATTTCCACATTATGTGCAATGTTTGAGCACGTGTACAATCCAGATTTGCACATTATGTGCAATGTTTGAGCGAGTGTGCATCCCAGATCTGCAGTGTACCAAGCGCTCTTTCGCATCTGAAATACATCATGTGCCAGGTGTAGCATCCCTGCTACGATCCACAAACCCTCACTCACTGGCACTGGCCATAGACATATCAAGAGGAAATGGTTCTTGACAACTCTCCGCGAAAAGGACTTCAACATCAGAAAGACCAAAAGGAAGGAACCAAAGAAAGGAACGAGTGTGTGAATAAACTCAGTATGTGCGAGAGAGCAAAACGCGGCTGCCCGTGCACACGTGTGCGCACGCTGAATTGTGAGACATAGCCTGCTGACATCGTCAAGAGCTGTTTTTTTGTTTTTTTGTTTTTTTACTATTGACACAGCCCTAATAGAAAACAGGTGGAGAACAAAAAGAAACAAGAAAAAGGACAAAACATAGGGGATGTAGGGACGACGTGCTGATGTGCTGGGAGCAACTCAACCGACCAGAGGTCTCGGCGTCAGCGTTGCAACTAGGCATCGAAAAATGGGTGTGGGGGGGGGGGGGGTTGCACAAGAACAACTGCAAAACAAACAGAAGCTAGAGAATACCCGGTGTGACAGAAATAATAACTTGGTGCGAAATAATGAGAAGAAAAGAATGACGCCCAAAAGCGCTAAATACGAAATTAAGAAAAGGGAAATCAAAAACCACATAGGGCTAAAGCCGCACCAAATAATAATTTAAATTATAACTTAACCGGGTGGAAAACCAAGAAATCATAACAAACAAAACAAACTAATAATAAAAGGTAAATGAAGCCCAATATCATCAGCATAGCCGAACCAAGGAACATGACCCGTGCCACAATCAATAGTTCATCCGTAGAAGTCGGTAGCCATCAGCCAGTGTTGGTGCGTGAGGTACTTATGGACATCTTCTTTGAACGTGTGGAGCCGCTTCAAGCTGAGTGGAGCCCTTACAATTTCGCTTGGCAAGCTGTTCCATACTGAGATGACAGAAAACGGGAAGGAGCGAGAAGCATAGGTAGGTGCTCTCCTGTCCAGGACTTGCTGCAGCTGCACATGGTGCTGCTGGCCAGGAGGGGGTTAACTCCGGGTGCGCCGAGCTTCTACATGGTTGGCTGGAGGGGGGGATCGTGGCAGTGAGCTGGGGTGGTCCTGGGATGCACTGGAGCTTGTACAGGTATACCAGCCCAGATACAATCCGGCGGTGGCACTGGCTTTGGAGAAGGGCACCAGGGCCAATAATGGCCATTGCACGTTTCTGCACACGGTCGAGTCGGGCGAGGTGGCTGGATGCAGCTCCCATCCACACAAGGGGAGCATACTCAAGGATGGGTCGCACAAATCCATTGTACGCACAAAGCCGGCCATGGTAATCTAACACCCGGCAAGCCCGACGGAGAACACCGTTGTTGAGGAGCCGGTAGGGCTCTGGAACATGAGATCAACAGGCAAGTTGATTTCCCTACCGAACATCAACATGGCCGGAGTCTGCTTGGCCGATGAATGGACATTCGTACGATAAGCAAGTAGGCAACGCTGCAGGTAGAGATCCCAGTCGCTATGGTGATCATTCACATGGGCTGACAGCATTGCTTCAAGAGTTCTATTCATACGTTCGACCACTCCATCGCTGTACGGTCGATACAGAGTCGTCCGTGACTTCTGAATGTCAAGCAGGGTACAGATTCGAGCAAATAGCCAGAACTCAAATTGGGCCCCTCTATTGGAATGTAGCTGATATGGAATGCCATATCTACAGAAGAAGCCGTCAACGAGAAGAGTGGCAATGGTGTCGGCGCGCATATCAGGTGCAGGAAACGCTTCCGTCCACTTTAAGTGAAATAATCACATATTTATCACAATCAAGTAACGGTTCCCACGACAATTGGCTGGAAGAGGGCCCATTATGTCAACAGCCACTTTCTCCAGTGGAAATGATGGTTGATCCTGCACAAGCGGAGCTCTGATAGTGAGAGCTCGTGTTTTGCCACTCTGACACACCTCACAGAGCGCCTCCTCTCCCAGTCGGGACGTCTCACGGAGCGCCTCCTCTCGCACACGGGTCACCTCACAGGACATCTCCTTTTGCTCCTTGAGCACCTCATTGGTCGTTTGGATCAAGTATCCCCAAACAAAACGAACATTCAGTCTGCCGTGCAAAGTCGGCAACCTCCTGATTAGACATATCATTCCACCCAGCAGGCTAAAGTTCGAAAAGGAGCAAGCGCCAGAGACCAAAGCGCCGGAGAGCAAAGTAACTTCTCCTGTTTGTTTACTATATTTCAAGGATTCCTTTGCATGCATACTGCAGTCTTCAACGCGTCTTCAACTGAATGTTACACAGGGTTCTGGGCAGCGCCCCCTACTCTGATTGATCGCCCTCCTGTGAAAAGGTGGCTCCCTCCTACTCACTTGTCGATTTTTGTGTTTTTTCATGCCATCCAATGAAAATGCACATGAAAATGCACATGAAAATGCACATGGCTCATAATGTAAAGGTACACTTGTGTGAGTTAAAATCGGGGTTCGAGCCGTACGTTGCACCTTGCATGGCAAGACACTTTTTGCAAAATGAAAAAAATGGGTTACGAGGTAACTGTTTCCCCTGCCCGTCCGTCCCCCTACTATTTCGACCTGGCTAGAACCCTGATGTAAGTCATGCAGTCGACTCCTGATAAAACAAACACCGTTGTGTGGGAGAATTAGTTCTCCATAGCCGAATGTATTTATAATAGAAATGCACTCACGCCATACAAGCAACACGTAATGACTGATATGTGACCGGTGACTGTAGGAGTGCATTTGGTTTACATACGGCCCTACAAGATAAGGTTCACTACAAAAACGAAAACTGTTCGCTACAAAGGGTCAAATTGATATGGGTTCAACCAGGGACATGGACACTGGCTCGCTACATTATGAAATTCACTATACGCGAGTTCGTTCTAAGTGGAGTCGACTGTAGTCTTCAATGGTCGTGAGCATCAACAGTTTGTTTGTGCATAGGTTCATGTACAAGCTACCACTCTTGCTTGTGTGGTATTTGTCAAAGCAAGGTTTTAGCCTGACTGTCATGACTGTCATGACTAGCGTGTAAGTTTCAAACCTGCTTTCACCTGCCTGCCGTGTTTCTTTCAGACTACTCGGTGGAACGTGAGCATGCCGGTCTGCGTCGCATTGCTGGCTATGGTGTCACTGTGACGCGTGGAGCTGCGTCCGCCATGATGTTCACATATTCTTCCCTGCTCGTCACGATGAGTCGTAATGTTATCACTCACCTCCGTGAGACCTTCCTCAACCGTGTCATTCCCTTCGATGCGGCTCATGGAGCTCACAAGGTACAGCAACTGAATTTGTGTTTAACAACAGCAGTTTTATAACCTTCCCTAATGCGAGCTTGCCCGTGTAAACACACACACACACGTGCACACACACACACACACACACAGTCTCCTCTTGAATTTAAAAGTCTAACAGCGTTCACGTCAATACTGAACTCATTCTTTTGCTCACTGAGCAATACAATCTTTTCATTTTCTTTCTTCTGTTTTCTTTTTCAACTTAATCCTCCCTACCCGACTTCCCTTTGGTGCGTCCATGGAGCTATGAAGCCGAGACCTCTGGTCGGCTGAGCTTATTGGGCCCCACCACCACACTCCATTATTCACCCCAGTGTCTGGAGATATGTGGATTTTGTAGAAAAAAAGGAAAAAACACACACACACAAACACACACACATGCATTCTATAATACTATTAGCATTACTACCTTTTGACTACGGTAGAAGTCTACCCAGCCTGAAACTTTGATTCCAGTCAAGATTATGTCAAAACACGTTCCTGGAGCCCACAGAAAAAACCGGAAAGTGTCCGATTTTGGCCAAAAAGGGCTACAAGTAGTGTAGATTTTCCAATTATGTGCGTTAGCAAATAAAGTAAATAGAGTATAATTTCCCACTTGCATTTTGTTATGGTGTGCTGGAAATTTTCAAATCATGGTTTATCCCATGGTGTGGCAATTTCAGTTAATCAGCGGCCGTATTGAGATATACCAGCTCGGCTGAAAGGTACACCCCGCTCGGTTCGCATGGGTCACGCCAAGAATAAGGGAGCTTTAGTGTTGGTCTTGCTCCACATCTGGGACAGTATCATGGGATTAAAATGGATTATACCATTTGTACTCTGTGTATACCAATACCATTCGTACTCTGTGTATACCATGTCCCTCATATTGCCCCTCGTGCTAACGCACTCGTGAAAATATTCGGCGGTATACCCCTCGTACTCGTGGTATAGTCCATACATATACATTCCATTGCACACTGTTGTGCTGTGCGGTGTCCTGCAGGCCTTTGCCATGACAGCACTCTTCTACACCGTCATACATATCCTCGGACATTGCATCAACTTCTACCACATCAGCACGCAGACGGCCAACGATCTCACGTGCCTGTTCCGCGAATACTACCATCTGTCTGATGAGCTTCCCAAGTTCCAGTTCTGGATGTTCAGCACTCTGACCGGTAAGTGTGACAGCTTGGTCATCATCATCCAGAGCCAGCCAGTGCATGGCGAAATGCTTTACTCAGTTTCCTATGCTGCTGCTGCTGCTGCTGTATTGGGGATCTCATGGATGTGTAACTCAAGAAGATCCAGGCCTGGTTGGAAAAAAGATGAGCAGTTTAACCAGAAGCACAATATGAGAGTGGACTGTTGGAGGATCGGGTTCCACAAGCACTAAGTTTGGTCCAAGAACACTGTCTGGCACATCGGTTTACCTTTTTATCTCTCTTTCTCTCTCCCTCTCTGTTTTCCTGCCCGCTTGCCTGCCTGTCTGTCCGTCCGTCTGTCCATCCGTCCGTTTATCTGTCTGTCTGTCTGTTTGTCTGTCTCTGTCTGTCTTTACCCCTGCCTCTCTCTTCCCACCCACACACACACGCGTATGCAGGTGTGACCGGCTATGTTCTGACGCTGGTCATCATCACCATGTACGTGTTTGCTTTGCCAACGGCCCGTCGTTACCTGTTCAACACGTTCTGGTTCACCCATCACCTGTACTTCGTCCTCTATGCTCTCCTGATCCTGCACGGAAGTGGACGTCTTGTGCAGCCACCACTCTTCCAGTGGTACTTCATCGGCCCGGCACTCCTCTTTGCAGCTGACAAGCTCATCAGTATCAGCCGAAAGAAGGTAGGGACATTGCGTTGTTGAGCACATATCATAAGAGGTGATACTGACAGTGTGTGTTCGCTGGACTACAGTATGAACTGTTGGTGCATTGACATTTTCTTGTTGTGTTTCTGCTCCCGATCCAGACTAAGATCATTGTGTATAAGGCCGAGAAGCTGCCGAGCGGAGTCACTCACTTGCAATTCAAGAAGCCCACCAACTTCAACTACTTATCTGGCCAGTGGTGTCGCATTGCCTGTCTAGCACTCAACTCCGAGGAGTACCATCCCTTCACCCTGACATCGGCACCGCATGAAGTCACCCTCGACCTGTACATCCGTGCAGTTGGACCGTGGACACACAACGTTCGCCAGGTGTACGATCCAGACAACGCAAAGAACAAGGACCTGATCACGGGAGCCGTGACATTCCCAAAGCTCTATCTTGATGGTCCATTTGGTGAGGGCCATCAGGATTGGTACAAATTCCAGGTTGCCGTCTTGGTAGGCGGTGGAATTGGTGTCACTCCGTTTGCATCAATTCTAAAGGATCTCGTCTTCAAGCGACAGGCCAACAGTCACATTGCTTGCAAAAAGGTAAAGTTACTACTGACTGGGCATGTATGCTATATACACAGTACAGACTGGGTATGAATGCTATACACAGGTGCGTATACAGCACACCTGTGTAGTTCATGGTTAGAAACTGCATGCTTCACAATAAGTGATATTGACCTGTAGCCTAGGATGCACTAAGCCTAGGATTTAGTTTGGTAAGTGTAACTAACCCTTGATCATCTCCCAATAGCCCATCATCGCCTGTGGTGCACTAGTGTTTGTTGGAGCTGAATCTGAGTCCATCATCGCCTGTGGTGCACTAGTGTTTGTTGGAGCTGAATCTGACCGCTGAGGTGTGACTAATTGTCGCTCGCCATCATTGTGTTGTTTCCTGCCTCAGGTGTACTTCTTGTGGGTCACGCGCACCCAGAAGCAGTTTGAATGGCTGACAGACATCATCCGACAGGTGGAACAGGATGACAAAGACCGCCTGACGGACATCCATATCTTCATCACTCAGTTCTACCAGAAGTTTGACCTGCGTACCATTATGCTGGTAAGCTACTGCTGCCGTTGTTCTTTTCTGGGCCGGTGTCCCCATCTAGGGATGTCAGCGAACGCACTGCGCAGGCCTCTGCGCATGCATTGCGTCATCGATTTTTTGAACGTGATCGCGGCCGACAGAGAAAACATGGCCGCGGTCTGTTTGCACCGCTGGGAGTCGTAAAATTACTGTTCTTCTGTCACCATTCAAATCATACGCGATACTCGAGGACCCACGAACTCACCACGTTCTCCCCGGTCGATTTCTCTGAAAGTTTGCACATCGTGAAACACCAGTATGAGAGGTGTTCAGGCCAATTTTCAAGGAATTTCCCTGGTTGGATCGTTCCAAAATCGGACTTCCATTTCTCGTTCGCGGCCATTTCTTGCGCGATGGAAGCGCCCTGCCCTGGTGAGTAACCAGCATCGCGCTTGGTAGAGAGTTGCTGCAATCAGCTCCCTGATGTCTTCGCTGCCATTGTCAGAAGCGATGGACCATGAATTTGTTTGAGAGTCTCTGGATGCTACTATTCCTCAGCCTAGTTTTCAGCCATTCCGTGCATCTTCTGCGCACGATTTATTTTGCAAAAAAATGAAAGTACTCATGAGTTTTCTTGTCGGCCGCGCGTAGATGGGCCAGGCTGACCTGCGCAGATGGGCTGCGCAGTGCGTTCGCTGATATCCCTACCCCATCCACTGCTGGTGGTAACTGCATCTGAAAGAAAACGACTCAAGCTGCTCCTGTACACAAACATCACAGGTTCTCATGAGATTCAGTCCGACTGACTCCTCTGCATCTGCAGGAAAAGCAACACCCTCAAATCAAAGATCATATTGTAATAGAAAGATCTGAAAACGATGTTGCACAAGTTATAAGGGAATCGTTCGTATTATTGTTATACTATTGTAGCTCATAATGTGTGGACCATTTAGTCATCTTTGGCTTCCCATCCGAGTTCCCATCCTTTGCAATAGCCATGACTTCTAAAAGTGGTGACCAGGGCAGGACCGCCGGAAGCAGTTGTTGATTGGTCCGGCCATACTATGCCACATTCATACACAGTTTGTGTATGAATGTGGCATGGTACACATAACCTCCTCAGCAGTAAACATGCGGTGGTGGCCAACAAGTTGGTCCGGTGATGACGTGACCAACCGGACCGGTTCCGACGGTCATGCAGGTTACATTAACTGCATTTCCAAGACAACTTAACAATACATGTACCTTTGCCCTGTCTTGCGAGAGCACCCAACCTTGATTTTGCAGCCAGGGAAAGGAAAATGAAAATTGCATGGCAGAATGCAACTAAGTTTGTACGGTGTGAGAGCCTCAGTGCACTAAGGTCACACTTAGCATGTTGTTGTGTGGAGCTCGTGTCTGCTCGAAGGTAAACTGAGTATGAATTGCCTGGACAAAGAGCACAGTGTGTACAGGGTACGTGTCGTACGACCTACAGACAGGACACCATCTCTGAAACACGACCACGAAAGGGTGGTTGGTGGTGGTAGCTGCGGGGCACTCTCGCTGTACTCTACGGTACTAGGAACTGTTCACACTCTGGTTGTCCTGAGTAGTGCGGGTCCTGATGCTCTCTGTCCTTCTCGTCCAATCTCTGCACAGTACATTTGCGAGCGTCATTTCCAGAAGATTTCCAACCGCTCTCTCTTCACCGGCCTGCGCTCTGTGACTCACTTTGGCCGTCCACAGTTCGATAGCTTCTTCGAAGGTTTGCAGCAGATCCATTCCGATGTTGGTCAGATCGGAACCTTTTCTTGTGGACCGCCACCGATGACGCGATCAGTGGAGGCAGCGTGTGGCCACTGCAACCAGATTGAAGGCCCGGTTTTCCATCATCACTTTGAAAATTTCTAATTTCACTGCCACTGCTTGCTTACATGTTATTATAATTATGCTAGTGTATAGCCGCTGAGTAGAGAACAGTTCTAGCCTTAGCCAATGCTCTTTGTGCTGCTCTCAGTTTTCACTCTACTACCTTGTAACAGAGTTATTATGTAGACATTTTCTTTCTACTTTGATGATTTTCCCCTCTCTACTCTCATCTTTCCCATTCACCACCACTACCACTGCTGCCGCCGTCACCTCTGCCTGCCTCCACTGACTGCTGTTCCGGCTATTGCCCGTGCCATGGCTTGAACGGTAAAAAAACTCGAGAGTCTGTGGCCCCATCATAGATTGTCAGTGCTCTGTCTGGCCAACAGCCTATTGCCCATGCGTGTTGCTGATATTTTTTCTTTTCTTTTCTTTCATTCTTTCTTTCTATCTCTCAGGGTGTGTATAGCTGGTGACCGTCATTCTGCGATGCCTTGTATACCTGGTATTTTCTTCCTCTCCCAGATTCTATTATTCTATTATGCTGCACCTTCATCTTGTACTTTGTTTGTTCTAACTTTGCTCGTTTTCAAGTAGGCATTTGGATGAAGTACCATGCGGGTTTTGCCACAAACGCATGCTATAACACCAATGACTTGTGTGATGTGCTGCATGGTGGTTTGTACCGTCCTGCTCGTGCTGATGATTATGATGATGATGATGATGGTAATTGTGTATAAAATGTGTCTCAATCTGCGGACAGACCAAAATGTGTCACTGTAGTCACCATGGTTACCAGAGTTCTTGTGTTATATGGCTGATGTCCTGTCAAGTGTAGAGCGGGGAATTAATGTGATGGTTGGTCTACCCACTCTTGAAGAGTGGGTAGACCCTTAGTCTCTCATAACAGAACGAGTTGATTGATTGATTGATTGATTTTATTTGGATTCGCGAGACCAAACGAGCAGGAGTGTTCAATAACAGGGGAGCGAATGGTTGAGTTGTGCTATGTGACAATTATGTAGTGTGTGCGTGGGGTGGTGGTGTGGGGGGGGGGGGGGGGGGCTGCGGAGGCCCAATACAATGTAAGGCCGGGGGTGGGAGGAGAGAAGGCCAGCGGAGAGTCAAATTCAGAAGAGGGAGGAGAGAATAGCTGAAGTACACGTTTACTGGGCGAATTCAAATAAACCAAACAAACAGCAAAACGAGTGCACAAACTCACGAGAAGAGACAGGAGCACAGAAATGAACGGGAGACAGTCTACGAAGTGGTGGTAGACTGCCATCGGTGCATGTAGATCTACCACGGTACATTTTTAAATTATCACATTATCGGCTTTGCAAAGTTAGTTCGCGGGTACTGAATACCATGGTATGGCCAACTGTGTAGCAGTCTTGGTCTTGTGTGATTATATACGAGCAGTTTGCTCTTTCTTTGTCCTACGGTTGGATGGTTACGGGTCAAGTAATTGCCCCCGAGACAAAGGAAGTAGCCATACCAGCCGAAATACTGGACTAAGTAACGGAGCAGCCGCGGAGGAAGAGGAATCCACCTGAATAATGAGGCCTTCAGCAGAACGTTCACGAATCCTCGAACCTAGATAATAATTGTAACGATTAACATTTTTCGTGCCTGTTTTGTTCTGGAATGCATGAAAGCGCAAGATCTTTCACACTCCCCACCCTGGGCGAAACAAGGTACGAACGAAGCAGAATGCGCCCATATTATACAGTGTTTTCTAAAGCTTGTGCCCTCGCGAATCTTCGAATCCATTCAGCTCGAGTTCGTCTCGTCAGCCGCGTTCGTCTCATGAATCATCGAATCCATTCAGCTCGAGTTCGTCTCCCAGATCAGGGCGTCGAATACATTTAGCTCGAGTTCGTCTTTCACTCGCGAAAGTGCGAAAGGTCGCTCTATCATGTACATAGTGAACAATGAGACGAGAATTGACAGAAAAATGGCTTCTACACAAGCTCAATATTGATCTCACGGTTCTGGCCACCAGCATAATGTGCTAATAATAATATTTAGGAATGGTTTGCTCCCACACTGGAGCTCGCGCTATCCCGCCGACTTGACTTGACACTTGACTGACTCACGACTGCCATCCAGAGCACACGAGAAATCCATCGAACCTTCCACTCGGCAAACCTGCAAGAAAGCACCACTCCCTGCTCAATACACAGTGTTTCGGGGAATTCATCCCTCATCAGTTGAGCTTGAGTAGGCTGAGGAAGATTGTGCCTGGGAGGGAGGGAGATAAATTGGGAAAGAGGGAGAGAGCCACAAGAGAGAAGTTAACAAGATAGAGAGCAAGCCAACAAGAGAGAGATAATGGATGAGGCTAGTTGATGATAGAACTACAGCTGTACTGATTATAAAGAGCTAGGGCTTCAGTGGAGCCAGTCAAGAATAATTCTCGTTCTTCTCTATATTTTAGCTACAGTATGCACTGGGTATATTTTATTGGAGCCATTTAGATTGAAGGGTGCACTTCACATAACAGTTTGACAGTTATGTTAGTACTCATCATCTCAATTAGCAACACCAACTCGAAAAGCCGATACGAGTTTCAGCGGATCATATCCTCGGGTATGAACTTTAGTCGTCTTTACAAGAAGTTCACGTCTGTTCATGTTGTGCGTCGCCTACCCACTCACTGGTAGTAGACATGCGGAGGCTGTGGTCCAGTGTGGAGGATGTGGTACATCCGTGTTCTCCGTGTTCTACAATGACCCCCGCAAGATAGATGGGGGGGGGGGGGGGGGAGGGCGTGCTGGCACCGTTTACTATGTATAATTATGTATGTAAAGAACGGGTTTCTGCACCGTTCCATGTCAGGGATGGGAGGGCCTGGACCAATCAGAAGTTGAGTATTAAACTTATTAAACTGGACTTTAATTTTCCTTTTCCGGTTACAGTTCATTGTTTCTGAAATCATGCAGATGGTCGCGGAGAATTGGTTGAGTATTGAGCAACTCGATGAATAATCAAATCACTACCATAAAGGTGTCTTGAGAAACGACTTACCGTTTACGTTCAAGCTCCATTCATGTAAGTCGAAGTAAAGTTCGCGCATCTGCGTTTTAACCATCCAAGAAACACAATCGAATCATCAGGAGGTGTCGCTTGTGTCAGGCCAGCACCACGCATGGTAATGCCCACTATAAAAGGCAAATGCAGAGCCTAGCATGGAGAGATACATGTAGTATCGAGGAGAGGGGAAGTCTCACAGCCAATTCTATAGTGCATGAATAGTGACGTCATTTGAATGCAACTACAATCATAATCATTGTACATGTATTAGTGATTTTTAAAAGTGGATGGCAGATGTGCGTGGCAAACGGGTGTGGGGCTGTGGGCAGACACATACCTACATGTACATGTATACGTGTACAATGTCCATTCAGCAAATCGCCATCCCTCTGGCATATCTGCGACACTTACCTGCCAAATCCTACGTACATGTGTATCTGCTGCGCTCGACTTGAATCGGATTCGAATGAATGTCTTAAGTGTCAACACAGCATAATCAACGGCTTGGATGATGTAATGCCGAAGTTCATAAATCATCATTCACAAAGTCATTGGACGTTGGACAACATGATGTCAACATCCAATGGCAATGACTTTTATGATGGGAATAGCAACAGCCATGTGCATGAAACGATACCAAGCGTCCTGGGTGTTTCATCAGTAATCAGGTGGTTGAAACGGGTTCGAGAGTCTATAGGTTTGCATGCGTGCAACATTCGGAATCCAACTGCATCAACTGCATGCATGGGAAAACTGAGTGAGACGAGAAGATTAGCTGCATGTAAAATAAATCTTTTGGTGGATCGCTTTTACCTTCCGGCCAAATGGTCTCTGTCCTGTGAATTTTTAATGTCTCTCTATCTTCACCATACTCTATCTTCACCATACTCTATCTTCACCCCACTCTATCTTCACCATACTCTATCTTCACCACACTCTATCCTCACTATACTCTATCTTCACCCCACTCTATCTTCACCATACTCTATCTTCACCACACTCTATCCTCACTATACTCTATCCTCACCATACTCTATCCTCACCATACTCTATCTTCACCATACTCTATCCTAACCACACTCTATCTTCACCACACTCTATCCTCACCATACTCTATCCTCACTATACTCTATCCTCACCATACTCTATCCTCACCACACACTATCTTCACCATACTCTATCTTCATCAATCTCAGTTTCCATCACTCTCGGTCTCCACCACACTCGGTCTTCACCACACTCTATTTTAACGTCTGTCAGCCTGCACTGTGATAAAGATAGAGAGACGTTCGTGGCACAGAGACACATTCGTTTTAGTATGGAAGTCGGGACTGGATAGTGTAAGAATGGCTGCCCAGCTGAGTGGAGTGTGAAACTTCTTTAATGTACTATAATAATTATGAGAGTTTGAGAAGAAGAAGTAGCGACGACCCGGCCATTATGGAATTCAATACACCACACCACCACATTGCGCTCTTGGCCGATCCAAACTCTGCACTCACATCACCATCACCACAGCGAGGACAATTCCGGTATATAGATTGATATTGACAATGACCCTCCAGACAGCTGTTTCGCTCCTCCTGAGCTCATCAGTGCAGAATGAGCGCAATTGCGCCAATTTAGCCCTATAAAGATCAGTCTATTCTTATTATTCTTTCATTCAACATCAAAATGCCTCCACTGATGAGCTCAGGAGGAGCGAAACAGCTGTCTGGAGGGTCATTGTCAATATCAATCTATATACCGGAATTGTCCTCGCTGTGGTGATGGTGATGTGAGTGCAGAGTTTGGATCGGCCAAGAGCGCAATGTGGTGGTGTGGTGTATTTAATATGAGAATGCTCCAAGAAAGTAGTGCTGAGCCCTTCATTTCAATTTCATGCTACGGTCTTTATTATCCAGAGTGCACGTCAGTCGTTCACAGTGTGCCAATGACAATTTTGGAGCGATTCCTATCTAGAAAACGCTTGGATTCTGATTTTGTCGAGAGAGTACTAAAGACCATCCTGTCCATGTCACATGTCCTTTGCGTCTCTGTTGCTTTTGACTGGCTATTGACATTCTCTTTCTTTACGGAGTTGTTGTTGCTGTTGCTGTTGCTTCTGCTACTCTTTCGTATTCCCTCCTAACCCTTACTTACATGTACATGTACACGTACATGTATATGTATCGCTGTGGTTGGCTATCACCCACACGCTTCACATTGGCCGGTGTTTCCACTGAGTTTTGAGATTTTGTAATAAATACATGTATACATACATGTATAATCTTGACTACTGTAAACCGCCCAATGTTATGTTCGCGTCACTAAATTTTCGCGATTTCTTAGAACCAGCGCGTTTGCGATGGCAAAATTTCGCGAAGCACTGGGGCCACTTACATACACACGCTGTTGGAGTTAGATTTCACGCGTTACGCTCTTCTCGCGAAAATAGCGAACATTAATCCGTCGCGAATATTAGGCAGTTTACTAGGCAGTAGTTTGAGGGAAAGTATACAATATATAAATCATGATAAAGTGTATTGTGCGTATAGACTATATATAGTGCACATCGGATGCCTGTGCCCTGGACTATAATAATTATAATCATGCACTACGACAGTAGCGTGAACT